CCTTCTTGAGCTATAAAGAAAATTAGTCAGTTTCCGAAGAGAGTGTAAAGTAGGCAGGAGACAAACCTTGCGCGCATCTGAGGCCGAGATCTTCTTCTGCTTCTTGACATCGATCTTGTTGCCCATCGCGTCGTACTGGACCTCCTCCTCGCCATCAGCCTTGTCGATACGAGGGCCGGCACCTTGTCCCTCAACCCAGTTGTGGCCGGACGCCTCGAGCCGTCCGTCACGCATCGCCCACACCCTGCGCAACGGCATCAATACGACGAATCGAGCAATAGAAAGAAAATAAACGCACTCCTTGCAAATTGACTCCGAGAAATCGCGGTTGTGGGTGATGACGAGCACACCACCCTCGAAGACCTTCAGCGCCTCGATGAGTGCCGCGAGCGACTCACGATCGAGGTAGTCTGTGTGTATCGTCAGCCTTGGTCTATGTACACTATGCACAAAGACAACTTACTGGTGGGCTCATCGAGACACATAACATGCGGGCGACGCCACGTTGCGGCACCGAGCACGATCTTGACCTTCTGTCCACCAGACAGACCGCGCATGGTGTTGTGCGAAACGAACTCAGGCTCGAGGCCAAAGTCCGCCATGTGCTTCTCGATCTCCCGACGCACAAGGGGTCGCAGGAGACCCAGGCGCTGCGCCTCACGAGTGTCGACCTCGATGACTTTCTGCAGTGCTGGTTAGCACGGGTAGACGGGACGACAAGAGGGAAAACCAACCTTCTCAAAGCCACGCTTGATGAGGTCGTCACGGGGGAGCCAGATGTTCTCAGACGAGCTGAGACCCTTGAACGACACCTCGTACTCGTACGACTGCTTGAGCTTCTTACGTGCCAGAATCTCGTCGATGAGACGCTTCTGTCCCTCGATGACGATGGCCGCGCCATCCTTCATCTTCTGCGCCTCCTCCTCGCTGATGATACGGTTCGCCTTGCTCATCTCCTCCAGATCCTCACCCGTCTGGTACCGCCAGAGCATGTATTCAAGCGGCGTCTTGTCGAGGTGGTTGTCGATGTGATGGAAGGCATGCTGAGCGACGTAGCCGATGACGAGATTGGGGTGCTTCCAGATCTCACCACCCTTGTTCTGCTCCATGTCGCCGATAAGCAGCTTGACAAGCGTGGACTTGCCGGATCCGTTGGGGCCGAGGACGGCGACACGCGACGAGAGGGAGACTTGCAGCGTGATGTCGTGGAGCTGTTGTACGGCGGAACTGGGGTACTGGAAGCCCACCTTGCGCATCTTGAGCAGCGATTTCTCCTTGGTCTTGACACCCTCGAGGAGAGGGGGGTCGGGGAGCTTGAAGCGGTAGTCCTCGGCAGCCTCAAGCGTATAGTACGACTTGGCCTCGGGCACCTGCTGCACGAACTTCTCAAGGTTTCCGCGGTAGCGGCGGAGCTTGAAGCGGTTCAGGTGCAGCACGTCCGTGATGGTGTTGTTGAGGAAGCCAGAGTCGTGCGACACGATGACTGCGAGAGGATGTCAGCGTTGCGAATATTGAGGAAAGGGGAGAAAACGTACTGGAAGTGCAGGTCTTGAGGTTGGTGAGGTAGTTCTCGAGCCATGCAACGTTGACGACATCAAGATGGTTAGTGGGCTCGTCGAGGAGCAGAATGTCGGCGCGGAAGAGCATCGCGCGGGCCAAGGCGAGCTTCATCTTCCATCCGCCAGACAGACTGCCGATAGCCTGTCCCTGGCGCTCATCGTTGAAGCCGACGGACGCGAGGGTCTCGATGCAGTCCTCCTTGGTGGCAAGGATACGCTCGTCCGAGACGACCCACTCGAGGACGGAGATGTTCTCCTCGCTGCCGTCAATGTCGTGCTCGACGTAGAACGTGCGGACCTCGTCGGGCGACGGGAAGCCCTCGACTTGCCTAATTGGGAATTAATAAACGATTACGTCAGCAACTACATATCACCCACCCGTTGGTGATGGCGCGCATGAGCGTCGACTTGCCGGTACCGTTCTTTCCGCAAAGACCGTAGCGGTGTCCGCGCTTGAGGCGCAGCACGGCCGTGTTGAGCAGGATCTTCGCACCATAGGCGAGCGAGAACTGACAGTTGCACAGATCCTCGCCCTCCTCCTCGTCCTCGAGAACAGCCTCGTCCTCGTCGCCCTCGACGGCCGACTTGACCACCCACTCGCGGGTGACCGAGATGGGGTCGGGGGTGGCGGTGACGAACGCCAAGTAGGGTGCGAGGCTGTCCCACTCGGGCACGTCAAAGTTCTTCATGTTGACGAGGTTGGCGGCGAGGGATGCGGTGTAGATGGTCATGACGTCAGCGACAGAGATCTCGCCTCCGAGCTTCTTGTAGATGGCGACGAGGGAGTGGCCAAGGGCACCTGACTCGGCGACTTTGAGCGGGGGGAGGTCGGAGCCGTCTCCGGTCGGGACCTCGCCAACTTGGCGGAGGGTGGCGATGGCTTTGCCAATGACACCACGGGCTTCGGGGTCACCGATCGTGGTCTCGACCTTGAGTAGACCGGGGAGGAGCTTGGGCAGGAAGGGGCGGACGGTGACGGGGGAGTCGACGAGCTTGGCCATGTTGTCGATGATGCTGCGTGATGTGTCAGATGGAGGTCGGGGAGAAAAGAAAATACGCTTACACCGCGACCTTTCGCTTTGTCGCCGTGAGCTTCTCCGAGAGACCGCGAGACAGAAGGGGGACCATCAGGGAGAGGGTGGGGGAATCTACTTCGGAAACGAATGTGGTAGCCGAGAGGAGAGCGATGGTACCAGGGACCTCCTCAACGGGATTAATTAGGGCTTTGATAAGGGCCGGAATAAAGCGTTCAATATCCTTGTTGGACACCAGGGCGGTGGCCTTTGTAAGCGAATCACGGGCAGCCTTCTTCACGTCGGCCTTCGTGTCCCAGATGGTATCGGCGAGAACGGGGACGATCTCGGGCATAAGACGGGCCATCTGGATGGGGGCGCTGACGACGAGCTGGTTGAGGACAACCAGCGAGCCGGTCTTGATCTGCCACTTGCCGGCAGTTTTGAGTTCGTGAAGAAGAGCGGGGAGAATGAGGGCTGTTGCCCAAGGGTTCATTGCGGCGACATACTCGCGCACGGCCTCGACGGCGGCTGTCCGGACAGCGGGCATTTTGTCGGCGAAGGCCTCGAGCAGGCCAGCATAGATTCCAGAGTCGACGAACGTGGGCTCCAGAGCCTTTACGGCACCCTGCTTGGCGAGAGCGAGGACGGTGTCAGCGGCGCCCTCACGGGCAGCAGGCGACTTTTTATCGGCGAGAGCCTTGATTATTGCGTCTGCGACGCCAGAGAGCGCAGCAGGGCCCTGCTTTTGGGCGAGGGCGACGAGCGTTGCGGCCGAGGCATCGCGGGTGGCTTTGTCAGCGACAAAAAGGCTGGGGACATCGAACTCCTTGAGAGAAACGGGAGCGGGGGTAGCAGCGGGCATTTCTTGGATCTTTGAGGCCATCGTGAGTGGATCTATGCGTCGAAGTACTGGATACCAACCTTTAGATGAGATATGGTTAAGATGGGTCTATGAATCGCAGACAAGGCTGACAGGGACAGAGAACGCTCTATGGGCAATATCTAGGTGGCTAAGCAGCCTGTATGCGCGATTAGACCCAGAAAACGGCGAGAGAAAAGACTTGCCTCTATAACGGAATGAAGGGAGAAGGGAAGAAAGGCGATCCCTTGTCGCTTTTTTCAAGCGGAGCTTGAATTGCTGCACAGCCATTCCCCACACCAGCTGACCTGCACCGCCTGTCATACCCCGGATTGTGTTCTGCTGTCAGCCACCTCTATTGCCGGCTTTCAATCCTTCCCACCCCACAGCCGACTAGCCTCCGACTAAACCCATTTTTTCGCCGTTATTTTCCAGCCAGGACTCGACCCAGGGCAGTTCGAGCCAGCGTCCATCCCACCCAAATCCACTGCACCTCGTGACCCTCATATCCGTATCACAGCGACGTGAATTGCAATTAGCGAGCGAATACAGGAGGTAAGGGCGTGGCGTGCGGCGCGGTGTTTCGCGCGCATGCATTCTACACGCTCGCGATAAGAACCGCCTTCCGACCCTAGAACACGACTCGAAGACTGACAGAGAAGGCGTCGCATCGAACCGGCAGGTTGCTGCGTCCGACGAACAGTTCATCTTGTTCCTCATATCCCGTATCTTGATTCAGAGTTGCCAGAACCCCTCAGATGCTGTAATATTCTCCCTGAAATTCGTCTCGCTGGCGTCTGCTTGAAGAGCGACCATCTCAGATTCTCAATCCACGAACAAACGCAAAAAGTTAAATCGAGCCGTGCAAAGTGCTATCTGCTCCATATTTTTATCTTTCATTATCACCGCACTTCGACTCATGTTCAAATTTAGGTGAATTACTCGGGACCGACATGGATGGAACTGACGTGATTCAACTTAGACTTGATTTGTTGATTCAGCGGCATTCTGTTTATGGATCGGCTTCATTCGTTGGCCTCGGAATTCAAGCCATCTTCGACGTGGATGCGAGTATGCCTTGGTTCAAATTCATTAATACTCGCATAGGACCCTTATAGTCTGGTTCCGCCAGCCTAATTCCTCTTTAACGGGGGAAGACTTGCCGTGTATTTCTTTTTTTTTTTGAAAAAGGGACTGTGTCGGTTCGAAATTGAACATGGTTGAAAAAAAAACTCAACGCGATCGGCGATCGTGTATCTGGTTCAAGTTCAATTTCTCGATCGCGATTGGCCTTGCAGTAGGCACACGACACAGTATTTATCCATCTTCCGCTCCCCAGACCCGGCTGTTTTGGTCCCGATGTCCGAACCATTGCGCATGCTGGGCTTCAATGCGGGCTCATTACCCTACAATCTGTACAAGTATTGAGATAATTACAGAAAAGACAACGAAAACGTCTGCGTTCCTCCTAAGATGAATAATACATGCCATACAAAACGGTGTGCAACAAAACCACCATCAAGAAAGAGAAAGAGAGAGAAAAAAACCCTACTGCAAAGTATTGTATGACCTGACCCCGAATCGAACAGGGCTCCTCTGTTTATACTTTTCAATGTTATTCTGCGAATCGAAACAGTCGCACTACCCACTGTGCTATCAGGTCGCACCAGGAACCCCCATGACACTGCTTTTATTGACCTGGAGGCAGAAGTCCGTTTGGTGGGGAAATTCAACCAGAATCAAGTTATCTGCCTACACCTACATAGAATCACCTGCAGTGCACCTCGTGTCGACTTTATTCGTCTCATTCGTCGCAAACCGAATCCATACCTGCCATTGAGATTATCCCAGCGTTCCAAAAAAAAGAAGAAAATATTGAACTATCCAGACAAGACTCTCTGACGTCGAATCGAACGGTTTACGGGACTCTGGATCCTCAGTTTACTATCTTTCTTCATTCTGATAAGAAATAGTAATAACCGCTGTGCTATCAGGTCGTAGCTGTGAACCTCCCTAGCGTCGCCGATTAGCTACTTAAATGCAGAAATGTAATGAAATGCAGTGGAAACCGAGGAATTCACCTGGCACAATTTAATTGCACTTACAGAAATCACGGTTCAAATAGTCAAGACCTAAAAGACCGCGTTCTACGTCGACGCGTCAGCGGGAAATATAAACTCGAAAAAGATGGGCGCTCCACGGTTCGTTCGATGCCCAAAAAGTCACTTTCGATTCTTTCTGAGTCGTATACAAATTAATCCTCTGCAGCCAATCGGGAATTCATAAACTCGCGCGGCGCAAAAAGGCCAGACTTCGAACGAAAATTTCGAGCTCAATTTGTGCAGATTGTAGTACGAAGAAAATGTGTGCATACAACAATATACTTGTGGCAGATCAGTCTCCATCGTCAATCAATTGTACTCTTTTCATGGTCAACAATGACGATCAGCTTCGAGTTGGGTGTGATCCCGGCGCACAGAACAGTTTCCTCCTGGTCGCACTCAAACCTGTGCACCTCCATGTTACCGTCCTCGTCGGGCATAGAAACACAGAGCAGCAATTTTGCGCTGGTAGGGCGTGTAAGTAGTTATCAAATGACGCATAGGAACGAAAAAACGCGTAGAGATACGACACATAAGAATGAAATGAAAATAGAACGTACTGGTCCACATCTAGCTTGTAGGTTTTGCACACGCCTGAGAGCACTTTGCGCACCAAGTGCCTACCGCGCGTTAGAAACTCCCTTCGATGTTCGGGTTCTGGTCCTGACACGAAGACGTTGAACTGGGCATCGGGGTCAGATACTGCTTGGTGGGATGATTCGGATGCGAGATCATACTCTGCATCGTACACTGTCAGTGAACAACGGCCTGAGATGTGAACGACGAGAACGTACGTCCGATCGCAGAGCGAGAGTTTGCGGCGACGGGGGACGCAGGTTCTTCCTTCACGCGTACTTCGGGCTCGTCGTCTTCCTCAGTGGGGATCTGTTCCTCCTCCGATTCGACTTTTGGCGCATGGGTAGCCGCGCGCCGCGGCAGGCTGCCATTTGCGAAGAGAGCACTGTGTGTGAGGTCCGCGTGTACCGTGCGCTCCTCCTCGATCTCATCGTCCACGCGGGGAGGGTCCGTTTCAGACGGCGTTGGCATCGCGCGGTTCCTTCCTATGTCCCCGATTAGCACCGATCTCCGACGAAATGCGCCACCACGCACCGAGCTCCACTACGACTACAGAGACAATATCTAGGAGTGGCCCCAGTATCCCGTACGCGTCCTCCGTCACTTCAACGTTCTCTCCGCCGCATACGTCCCAGGACGACACCTCAAACTGTAGTGCTGTACTACTAGATTCGATTCCGTAGTTATATCTTACAAGCCGCTGCATCTCCTGCATAAGCAGGGATTATTCAACATCAAATACGACGGGACGGGAACAAAAATTGCATACTTTGTACGTCTCAGCCCGGGGAAGAAATTTCCTTTTGTCGCCTAGAGTGACCAGGACGACGGGGACATCCTCTCTTGATTGCGTTTTCGCGTTTATTGTCGAGATTATATGCATTTTTGAAGATTTGCAAGAGACCAATCTGAAGAAAAAAGAACAAAGATGGTTGAAAGATGGAGAAGCGAACAGGAGAATGTCACGTAGGCACGTGGTCGTGCCGCCACTGTGACGATTCCGAAGTCGAGTTTCAACAAATCCAAAACAAATCGTTATTATCGTACATGAGCAGGGTTCGGTCTCCGCAAAATGGCCCAAGACAAAAGGAAAATACAGCGGTCTAATCAAGTCGAATTGGGCAGCTCCGTTTGAAGTTTTTGGAGCGCAGCGACTCGCCGAGGATGAATAAGAGGATTATCGGATGAATTGGAGGATGTGGGCAAGGGATTAGGATCGAGAATTGGTATTGGAGGATTGCTCCTAAAGATATCGCATGGGTCGGGTGTTGCGCCACATGTTAGTGCTGTAAAAGAAAATCGAGTTGGATGAGACCAAACGAGCAATTAAACAGACCGCACGTTGTAATCTTGAGTCCCATTTGGATTTTAAAGGTAACGAGTGTCAGTCCGTCAAGAGAGACTAATTTGGAATTGTAAGAAGACCTGTTCATATCCTCAAGTGGGATTATCACAGGACCGACTCCATAAATATGATGGACATTCGAAGAGACAACGACGGGTCCATTTCATGTGCTGACATTTCAGCTCTGGGCTCGCCGCCTGCGTGTTTCAGGCGTGTTTGAGGTCAAGCGCAGTGACTGTGGACAGACCACGACGGTGGTCGCAAAGTATATGGAGAGAGGCCTGGGCTGGGCGCCATTCAAACGTTACTTGAAAGTCGGACGACGGGACAATCATTGTTTATGACATAACTGCAGGAGAAAAGTGAGATTGTTCAATGTTTGTTCCCAACGCCATCAACCACTATTTGCTACAACTCCGTTTGACGAGAAAGGGAAAAAGAAAATCATCGCTCAAAGAAGGTACGAGTGGGCACCGTTTCCTCTTTTTGTTCCTCGGTCTCCTCTGTCGTGCTCGAAATTGGCCACAGGACCTCGTCCGGCGTGCGCCGGGAGAGCGACTCCGGAATTGCCGTCGTCCTCTCGATGGTGCGACTCATTGCGGGCGGCCAGTCACGTCCAAAAGACCTGCTGGTGGCGCTGAGACTATTCCGCTGCTGCTGCCAGTCACGCCGCCGCTCTTCCTCACTGAGCTCCCTCCGTGCAGTTGCAGGCTCCGGTGGTGTGGCGCTATCCATCAACGCACTCAGATCAACGACTACAGGCACGTCCGACGCTGCGGTGGCCGTCGCGCGTTGGATCGTCGAGTCCACCCAGGCCTCGAACTCACGCCCGTCCGCGGAGTCTGATGCCCGCGTCGCGGCAATGTGTTCCGTGAGCGCCATGCCCTCCCGCGCAAGGCGCTCACGATCCCGCCGTGCAGGAGGCCCCGCGGTCCCCGTGGCAAAAAGCCGGGACATTTCTGAGAGCCGGTTGTCTTCCGCTTCTCCGGTGCGCGGGGGGCGGGCAGCAGCAGCACGCATGCGTGCGCGCAGTTGTTGAAGCTCTTCGCGGTCGCGGATGCGCCTCTGCAGCGCTTCGCGCTCGCCACGGCTGCCAAGGATATCGTCGGCGGGGATGGAAACTCGACGTGTCGACGCCGCAGGGAGGGGTGGCGAGACGGCAGCGCGGAGGAACGTGTAAGGCGGGGTCGATGAGGCAGTGCTATGAGGATTATTATGTCTGGTGCAGGGTGTGAATAGAGCACCCAGAGGATTACCACTGTAAAGGAGATGATTAACAAAAGCTAGAACACGAACCACGCAGGAAGATGGCCCAAGGCGACTCGGAGGAGACTCACCAAATAGCGCAACCCACACCGCTCCTCGCACATCCGCACCTGTCCTTCCCCAACATTATCTCGCGCCTCATATCGGGCGTGAAGTACTTGTCCTCCAGCGCCACGACGTCTGGACTCACGCCGTCCAGCTGTCCGCTCCACCGCCGATCCGGCACCGCCCGCGTGTGAATGCGCACTCCGCAGCCATTGGACCGTTTCTGGCGCTTGCGTGGAGGCGGTGGTTGCGTCTCCGGAAGCATTTCCACGACCCACGGCCGATGTTCGTCCCAATCCGCCTCAATCTCCTGGTCTGCTCCGCAGAAGAGCACTACAGCAGGTAGCGTGGGGGCAGCGCTACGCTCAGTCCTATGGCGTCGTAAACGGGAATCCTCGCCCGAACGCAATATGTCAACTAGGTCCATCTGTTCGTCCGACATGGAGGTTGCCTGAGTGGGTGTACGAGGCGACTGGGGCATCGAGGAGGTCGACAACATCGTATAAGCGGCGGTGGACATGAAGGTAGGAAGCAAGGACCAGCGCTCGTGGCTGTGCCCACAACAGCTTCTTCTGTTCCGCGATTGTGGTCAACCTTGGGTCAACCAAGGAAAAATTCAAAAAATGAATGCTCGCGTGAGCCATTCAACATACACTGGGGACAAGGACCTGGACCGAGGCTCACAATGGGTGCTTGTAGTGTGCTTGTGCACAAAAGAAATAAAGTATTATGATTTAAAGGTGAGGATTCCTTTATTTCCAAGTTGCACCTGAAGCCCAGGTGCCTTGGATTTTGCCCCCAGTGATATCAAGACTGGGAGGTGCCAGGATTTTATTGGAGGTTGAACGTTGGACACCAAGGTGACACAACTTGGGGATATTCTACTCAACAACCCCCTTGTTGAAACAACCTGGGTTGTTAAATGTCATCCCATTTTAAGAATAATGTTGTTCTCTTTGTGAACCCCCAGCTCATCACTGAAAACAAGCCAGTTTGGCCACGCTGACTGGCTCTGGAGCATGCAGGCATTTTTTCTTACTGTGGACTCACCATCCTCCTATATTAATTAACCGCGTGGGCCAGGCTCCGTCTGGTACATCAACTCAAAGCGATCAAGATGTTCAACTCGAGATTTCAATATGATGTTCTGCTTGAGTCCTGCCCAATAGTTAACTGCCTTGAGTGGTGCAGTTGAACCCAAATTGAAACAGGACACCGGCACGACCGAACGAAAGCGACTCGACGCGTTTGGACTATGGTGACAAGAAAATAATAATAGGCTACGTCTGATATCGTGAAAGCGTGTCGCCAGGGCTGCAAATGTGTAGG